CTCGCATTTATCCCCCCATCTCATCTCGAATTTACGTTCTAACACCCCTGGCCGGATTTAACAGAGGCCACGGCATCTCCGGCCAACGCCGACGAGCACCGACCCTCTCGGCAGCAAAATGCCACCGAGACACTCCTCAACGCCAACATAATTAAACAAGGTACCTATCATCACGATTGGTGGCGTACAGAGGCACGGGCGTGCACCACGACGGGGTTTGGCCGTGGTGACGCCGACATCGGCTAAACATCCAGCCTAGCTCTACCACTTCTCCTGGCCTCCATTCTTAGAGTAACAATAACACCCTATAGGTTCTAGATACAGCCATCCTTCTCCCAATCCAACCGGCCATGGACACAGTAACGACACGGCGTCCGCCGGTGGTGGCCACACACTCGGTGAGCCTCGGCCCCAATTGACTCACCCAGCTATCCTAGGAGTAGGAGGGCCTTACCAGCAACGCGTAGGATGGCTTGGACAAGGTCGCGGGGCACGTCAAGGCAACTGGCCACGTACGCGAGGTCGCTCTGGTTCCCGGCAATCGCGGCGATGACGTTCCCGGTGACCTGCTGCTCCACCGGCAAAACCACTAAATGAGCGAGGTCACCAAGTCAATCACTATGCAATGCACAACCTAATTGAAACAACGAAGCACCACGCGATGCCCTGGCCGTGCGCCCGCTTCGATGGCCATGGTGAACCGCCGCGAGGGGGAACGCTCCACATTAACTTACTGTAGGCCGAACGAACATCGGGACGACCCCAATCGGAAGCTAACTACCCGAGATCGTAGTGTGTACGGTTAATTGGAAAGATGTGGAGTATGCGATACCAATTGCAGGGGCGACGCCTACTGACTTATGGCGGCCAACGATGGCAAAAATTTAAATTGACGCCCCTCCCTTGTACCACCGCAACAGTGGCTGGTTAGGCACGAAGCTGTCCTCCCACTCGACCACCAAACGTGCTCGGTAACATGGATAGGGCCAGCTCATTGGTTTGGCTTTGGCGTGGCTCGGCCGGCCGGCGACCTTCCAGGCGACGTGACGGGAACCTTTGGCGTGGCCTTGCACACAAACGTGAGAACGAGGCAAGCAGGGCAAGCCCACGTGCGTGCAGCCGAACGTCAACGGGAGCAGTAGCTGTGCGGCAGCGCTGGACGACGCGCAGTGCGAGCAACGCGATGGCGAGCAACAGCCTTAGGCGGACGCGATGGGGAGGGGCCGAGCAGCCAGGCTTGCCAGGCCCAGCGCTCGCGCGTGCCGTGTGCCAGAGCGCGACAGCAGGAGGCTTTGGACGGCAACACAGAGCCAAAGGCGTGGGTGCACGCGCGCAGGCGCGATGGGCAGCCGGCGCGGCAACGCCAAGAGCCGGGCGGTGACCGCGCCCAGGCGTTGGCATTGCTCAACACCTGACTTGCACGCTTTTTAAAGCCGTTCAAAAACTCCAACCCGATGATTCAAGAGTCAAACCAGTTATTTTACACTCAAGAGGGTACCTAGGGCTATCGAACTAAGCCAAAGCATCTTGCCACTTAACCCGATCGTTCTACAAAAATTGCCGAACATGGCTTCGTCGACCCATTTTCAGACTTACGCGAAATGACTAAGCTTCAAACGGTTTCGCGTCGTATTCCTTTTCCAAGCTACTTGATACACTAGCTAGCGAACCCCGTCCTCGACCGTACGTATTTCATCGTCGCCTACGAAGTTCGGGCTACCAACTTTACTTCGTTCCGCCGATGCGTTCCATAGCATTTCCGTCCGATAAAAATTCATTTAGAATCCTAAGTGATAATACGCGACATGAAATATAACATCCGTTTCTTGTTTCAAATGAACGTTTCAAGTTCTGAATATCGATGCATACCCTATATTACACATATTTACACACAAGTATGATGCTCATGCAGTATTTTAGCAAAAACTGTATAATGTAACACCGATGGTGTTACAATATGCTACAAGCTATGTATAAATATACCAATCAACACAATATGCATATGGCACATGTTTGTGGGTACCCGCCTCTTTGTACCCACGTGTGAGTTTTAGTGCTCATGCCCACACCCATCGGGTACACAAACCGTAGGTACAATTGCTATCCCTATTAACTCCTCTATGCACCTCGGCCCAAACGTTTGGCAGTGCTTCACGGGCGGATTCTTCCTCTTCCTCAGCTTGGATGCATGGCACCACGATGTCGTTCAACCTCCACGCGGCACATGCCAATGTTCGTGCCATGGAGCAGCAGGTCGGCGCAAATCTCCTCCAAGTTGTCCCCATGGTTGTGGATTGTGAAGAGGAGCAGCATTGAGTGGCGAAGATGGCCAGAGAGACGAAAGTGGAGATGATGGGGAGAGGCAGAAGTGGAAGTGTTGTAGAGCAGTAGACGTGTATGATGCATCCCTCCTCATCTAGTGTGCAACAACCTGTGGAACAACGATGGTGAAGAGGGATGGCGCAACCACAAAGAGGGTCGGTGGATCTCGCTTGCCATGGAGAGTTCACCACCTTGTCATGTAGGAGTTTGTGGCATTCATAGTTCTACTAGTATTCGGCTGGTCTTGTTCTCCTGTTAAGCATCATTTTGCTCATGTAATGTTGTTTGATACTTCTTCCATTCTAAATTACAAGACGTTTTGAGTTTTTTAAATATATAGCTTATGCTATGTACTTAGGGCTTGTTTGGTACGACTCTGGCTACGGCTCCGATAATAGCTTCTACGGAGGAGCCGAAGGAGCCATATCAAACATTTGGGGAGGAGAAACTATTTTTCTGATGAATGGTAGAGGAGCCAGATCTAAAAATAAGTGGTTCTTCCTTAAGTGCTCTGGGTCCTCCAAAGAAGCACTTGAGAAGGAACTTGCCAAACGTGACCTTAAATATATCACCACGTGATGGTGAGTCCTATTCTGTTTTTTTTTTTTGGAACTGAGTCCTATTCTGTTACGTGTGTGGAGGAGCCATCTCTGTGTTTTTGGGCAGCACGTGGTCACCCTAAAGAACGGTGCATGGAGGAACTAGAGAGAGGAGACTAACAATCTGGTGTTAACTTCCTTCTTACATGCATGTGGTGTCGTGATGTTGGCAGGCCCATGATGCATCATTAAGGCCTATGCATCATTAAGCCGTGGTGAGATCAAGCAAGGAAATCGAGTATTGGGAAAGGTTGAAAAAAGACAACCTCGCAAGCTTTGTATTGGCAAGACAAGTGGAGTAATGTTTTTCCCCGATGAGCTCGGCTGGAGTATTGGGGTTCTCACGATAGGATGCAAGGCAAAGACTGGAGGGGCATACATAAGGGACTCAATATATGGCACGTATTGATGTTGACGATGATACGTAGGTTTTGGTAAGGAGAGCATCTCTAGCAGCTCCCCTATCCCTAATTTAACTATCAGACTGGGGGAGTTGGCTCAAAAACATTGTTCCAACAGCCCTCTTTTCTATCCCCATTAATTGGTTCTATCCCCATTAATTGGTGATCACCAAAAATCACTCCAAGTCTCTCCAAATAGAGGGGGAGATGCAACTCCCCCAAAGAGCTCACCATAATCCCAACTGTCACACTTTTCTTCCCGCGCCTACTCAGAAAATAGAGGGGTAGCCCCATTAGCAACAATGTCATAGGAGTATGACGGCTATGGGGTGGCGTGGCGACACGAGGCGCCGCAAGCTAAGGATGTAGGTTTGTATTGGAAGAGTTTGCGTGCTTCCAAATTAGTAAGGGTGTGGATCAATTCAAATTGCACGCGCGGATTCAAGGGTGGATTGAATGACGTGAAGAACCTTCAAGGGCTAAACTGGAAGGAAGTATAGACGACAGATGTCTGTACTTGCAACTAGAGTAATTTGGTTGGTCTAGGTTGTAGGAGGCGGCTACGATGAAGACATCAAGTATAGCATTGCAGCGAAAACAGAATGAAAAGATCACAATGCCTCGAGGGGAGGAGGGTGAATAGGTGTAATCTGAAACTTAAAAACTTTGCAGCGGATTAAATCACAGGTACCAGAATTTTTGGTCCTGATCGAAATTTCTGGATTTGTCTAGAAATTCCTGTGAGGACTAAATTTCACCCTGGAGAGGAATGAGCTAACTACGACCAAATTTCCGGGCCATGGAGAGGAACGAGCTAACTAGGCTAGGAAATAGAGGGAGTATATATCTTTCTGTTTGCCCGGTTGGTTTGGTTGGCGGCCACCTGCCGTCATCAATCCCTTCCAAGGACCACGGTGTCCCCGACGGCGGCATGGCGCTCAGAGCACGCTAGGCACCGGTCCAACATAAGCACTGCACAGCGTCCTGATCCACATGCAATCCCTCCTTGATCACCTTGATCCTGAAGTGTAGGGGCACTGCAACAATACGCTTCTGTTGATAAATGAGCAAAAAGAGAGAAAAAACGCATGAATAAGCCTGGTGGACAAAGACTCTAAGAGGAAAATAGCAATACTATGACTTATATACTTCTGTAATCTTATTCCATCGTTTCAAAATAAATCAACTTAGTTATCCTAAGTCAAATTATTTTAACTTTAACCAAATTTATAGAAAAGATTATAAATATTTATGACACGAAATTAGTATCATCAAATACATCATGAAATATATTTTCATCATCTACTTATTTGGTGCTATAAATGTTATTGTTCTTTACTATAAAATTAGTCAAACTCAAGATAATTTGATATGATGATTCCGGGAGTTGATTTATTTTGGGATGGAAGGAATACATTACACATGAGACAATAATACCATCTTTCAGGCAAGCTTGTAAACTCACAGCTACACAAGGTTCCCATCCCTTCCTCTCCTCTTAACTTTTTTTTCTTGAAAAAATAATCTCTTATTACAGTTTTATGCCTATCCATATGCATATCATCTCTTGTTTCGCTTCGTATGCTGACCCCTACTTGCTGCGCAGCAGGGCCACTGGGCCAGTTAGTTGTAGTGAGCCATCTTCTTGTGCCATACTCCCTTTTCCTGCTCCTAGTTCTTACATCCCGGGCCTGGTGGCAGCTCCAGCAGGACCAGCTTGTCGTAGCAGCTGTGTGTATTAACACAAACTGAGATCCAGGCTCATGACACAAGCTACAGAACGATGGATGAGATTTATCGTGGATGATTACCTGGAAATAGGCCTCTAGTTTCTGCCTCAGGGCACCGTGCTCCCTCTTCACTTTATGGAACGATCTCATGCAACTGCAAACCGAAATATGCCACAGGAGTAAACAATGGCTGTTCTCATTTCTTGACATGAGACAAAAATCTGAAAGAACTAAAAAGCCAGAGAGATACAGACCCTTCAACATTTCCCTGTCCACAGTAATCCCTGAATGACATGCACTCACTCTTCATCCTTGAAGCACCAATGCTGCATCAAGTTTTGTAACATCGTCAAACACACGTAAACTTTATATAAATATAAAACAATGATAATGTGTTCAGATGTCAGAGTTATGCTTTATTTACATGTATTCAGAACCATGCCATGCTTACAAAAGTTCATTCGCACACGTTAAGCTTTTGGTTGGCACGCAAAACTACAAAATATGAATTTTCCTCCGAGATACCAGACCACCTTAAAGCCTCCAAGAACCTTGGTTTACAAGCATACTGGACATGTCATTAGTGAGGCATTGATATGCTTCAGATTCCCCCCCCCCCCCCACCCCACCCCACACACACACACTTTTTAAGAAGCTGAAGCATGCAGTAGTTGTTTCAAAAAGGATAGTGTCAACTTTGCAGGATGTTCAGTTAAACTCATAGTCCTCATTATTCACAAAACTATAAAGTAAGGTCCGTGTGCTGTACTGAATCAGTCACATAGCATGGATCATGTGCAACTGAAAAAATATATCCAGATGCAGCACCAGAGCTACCTGGAACAGCTGCCTTCTAGCTGCTGCATGTATGCATCCCATCTATTGAAATCTTTGGGGTATTTTTCTCTGCAGTGTCACAAAATTTTAATCAGTCAAGTTCAACACTTCTGCTTGCATCGTATTTTCTTTCTTTTTGAACAAGAAATCACTTCTCCCTTGATATGCCCGTTTTACTTACAGAGCTTGTTCAACATTTGATATTAGCCTGGCCGAGTCCTTGAAAAACAAAGTGGCAACCTCTTCCGCAAAATTAGGACTAGCTTCATCCTGCAAGTCTTCCACCTGACAAAATTGCTCATCTAGGTACCCCTGTCGATGAAATAAAACTTACTGAGTCAGCATTTGGTATATAAAAGGAAAACATTGAAAACCATAAAACAGCATAGAATAGTGTTTGCCATGGATGGGATCAAAAGCAGGCATGCTTATACATAGGAAAAAGGTATGATCGAACTTCTAGGTCCTTGTGAAAGCATAAAGATAAAATATTGATTAGAAATCTCCAGAGTATAATACAGGCCTGATCAAAGAGACTCTTTTTCATGGATGCAGCTTGGCGACGCAAATTAGAATAATCCATTCGTATGAATGACTAGCCAAAGGGTGGCAAGGCGAAGGTGATACAGATAGGAACACACTTCACAAGTTACAAGACATATATAAACAGGTGGGAACAATGGATACAGAAAGTTGAGCATGCCATATGCTTATATAGTGGAGGAGGCAGTTACTATTTGTCTACCAAACATAAGTGAAACTTAGATATTCCAGTTTCTGGATAACAAATGTAAGCATCTTGCATGCACAGGTGATTTGATTGCCACGGTGTGCACAAGGTATCCACATTTTGGAGAGTGACTTGAATAGAAGCGGATTCTTGTAGCCTGTATCTCTTCATAAGAGATATATGTTGGTTTATAACAATCGCAAAGAAATCATTAAGGCCCTGTTTGGATCCTAGGAATTACATTCATTCGAATAATTATAATTTAGGCACAAATTAATTAAGCTAATATGGTTGTATATGGAATATATTTGTATGTTATTGTTAGCCATACTAGGGAGATACTTATATGTTGCATTTCTACTATAGGGAAATGAGTTGAAGAGCGTGCTATAAGTTGGAGAGTAGAAACATAGCATGGTGACCTATAGAATCAATTTCCATCTCCCGCTATGAATTTGAGATAGTCTTATATGTGAACTTGGGAAAGTTGTGGAATGTCAAATTCCAAGCTAAATAGCCTATAATCCATTAAGTAGATTCCAATTCCTCCAAAATGAAAGGATCCAAACGGCCCCTAAAGGAACTTACTTTTAGGAATTATCAAGAGTTAACCTGTTTCATGGCATCCATATAATTTCCCGAATAAACCCGATCAAAGATAGGATTAGCTGAGATCAGCAACAACGGCTTTCTGTAGGTGTACGTAAAACATGATAACTGCATTATTATTTGACTTGACACCCCCACATAAAAGTAAACACATTTGAGTGAAGAGAATTAAGATCCAATACAGTATACTTCTAAATTTTCTCACGTTGGATTGCTCAAAAGAAAACATATTCATGGACTACTAGAACAAGTGAAGAAGTCTCAGGCATGATCTTAATACAGAGTCATAGAAGTCTGTAGATTGCAGCTTAGAAAACATGGGTCAATCATGCAATTTAGTTAAGCTGAAGCGCCCTAAATTACTTCAAAATTACAACAGACAAACAGTTTAAAGCTTTCATTACAACCAGCCTACACATAGTTACTGAATCATGTAGATGGAAGCTTTTCCTAACTCCATACATGGTATCAAAAGATTTAGCACCAGAGATATTCGGTTCTCATTATGTGCTAATCAAGTAATCATTAGCATTTAACAAACTATCGTTTAATCACTGTTCACCTACGCGGCAGTTAAGCTCATTTACACGCCGTGTAAACGCTACACGGTGGCTTGCCGTGTCCGTTTAATCAGCCGTTTATCCCGTTTAATCACCGTTTAGTCTGTTCAAATGGCCGTTTAGCTCGAATAAATAGCTAAACAATAGGTGTCCGTTTAGTCTGTTTAAGGAAGTGCAAAAATCAGTATATTTACCTTATATACAGTTGTAATGTTACCTTTTGTCTGTTTTGTGGGTCAGTGAAATAGAGAATTTCTGCTGTGGTCTTTAAACAACAACATCCTAAGATTACGCAAGAAATTCTCCCGTGACAAATCCCAGGATAGAATGTAATCAGACAAATGGGAAAGCTGGAACAAGATGTCTTTTTGTGCCCCTCAAAGTTCAAACACAATGTGGTGATAAAATCTGGGAGAATGACTGATAACTAGAATAGGGCCAAGATGCTTACTTTGAGCCTCAGCCAAAGAAAAGTAGGACAAAGAATAGACCTCAACAGCTTGGTCCAATTGTCACAAGCCAATGTTCTCTCAGAGCATTGGACCACGTGGCAAACTAACAGTCTTTTGCAAAAGGGGTAAAAGAGATTCATTCAATGATTGATCCGATGATTGCAGTTCACCCCAAGTCAACATCACAACTTGATAAGAGGAATACGGCATGGATCAGAAATTCGAAACAAACAGAACGCCTATACAGGAAATGGATATTGGCAAAAAGAAAATTCTGGACGAGTCATTGCCATTGCCACAGATGAATAAACAGCAAACATTGTCTGCATGCAAGCTATTCAGTCAGTACCTTCCCCGTATGGTGACTAAATATTCACAAATATCCCAAGGCATATGGTCCAACTGTTCATTTCTGTACTGTTGTCTCTATCAATTTCATAAGTGAGTATTCTCAAGGCAATAATTTTCCTTCTGCCACAAAACTATTTGTCATTCATTATGTCCTTTTCTATGTAGAAAAGGGATAGTGAACATGGCCCCTTCAATAAAAACAAAAATTCTCAAGCTCTATATGTTATCTAAATCAAGATGATACACCCACAAGGACGACATCTCCTGGAAGGAAAGCTGCTAACAAACTTGACAAGCCTGAGCTCATCCATCTAATCTCCCAGTTCCCCCATCATCGTCTAACTAGAAACTAGGAAGATTTCTTGGCAGCTGCTGTCATCTTGACAAGCGTCATCACCTGAGAGCCTTGGAAGTTGGAAGAACAGCTAAAGGACTGTAGAATGGAGCTAATCCATTCTGATTGCTAATTTGACCTTTTTATCAAACATAAAAAGATAGTTCTAGTGCATGAATAAGCATCAGGACAAAGCTAAGTTTTTTTTAGCATTTGAAACTTTAAAGCTTGTCTTTCCTGGTAAATACTTCACACTATAATGTCTGGTTTCTACATATCAAGGTCATCCATGCTCTACGGCTTGCACATGATCACATTATCAACACTCAGCAATCCATTTATAGCATAAGAGACTAACTTTCCACAATCTAAAAGTAGCATCTGCATAGCACAACATGAACTGGATGTGCATGGTACCTCCAAAAGCATACTCATGGATTTCTCATCCACAGTGCTCCAGGAAGGAACCTAGATGCTTGGTTTGATGTGTACGCTCCATTACTTTTTGGCACATTAGTAGGTTTCTGTTCTCACCTAGAAAGCACCAACTTGAGCAATTGTTTCTCCACTCAAAATTTACTTACAAATCAGAAACTTTCCTCTTCCATTGGATAAGGTGCACAGAGAGTTAAGTTTTGGATGAGGATATAACCTGTGGTCACTAAAACACTAACAAAACATTCACAAATCTTTTGAGATGCACTGCACATAGTGAGCAGACTCAGCATGATCTTCTGCAGTTCAGCAACCAACTCACTGGAAGTCACACTTCCAGATTCTGAAGCTATGCGCTAGAGATGCAAGTCAGTAGCCAATGGTGTTTTCTGGGTCAGCTAATAATTAGGTGGGATGGCCTTTTAATTCATTTTATCAAGTTCTAGGTGCACGCAAGTGACACCTATCCAAACATGTTACAGAAACGAGCACTAAAGCTTAACCGCCAGGAGCGATCTTTTTCATCCTAGTACTAGAAAATAAAGATCGCACGGTCTTAGCCGTCATGCTCCCTCTAGATTGGTTTGGTTTCACTCTCATACCAGAACCGATTCCCACCTAACGACATCGATAGGGAGCGGAAAAGAAAGGCGTGGGTACCGACCAATCGAGAGAGGATCCTCCCCGTCCGGATGAGTGCGCCGGCCCGATCTCCCCGCGCGGCGCCACGTGAATCGGAGTTCAGCCGCAGGTTTCGCATCGGGGGATGCCGAACGGGTAAGGGGGGGAAAAAGATCGCGAAAGGCGCGCGGGAAAAAGGGCGGTGGGAGCTCAAAGCGTTCTAGGAGGGTGATGCCGGCAGAGAGTGAAGTGGTTAGTGAGATACCTAGTGGGGCGCAGCGCCGCAGGACGAAGGGGACGGCGGCGACGGGGGCGGCGGGTGGCCGATTTGGATGTTTTGTGCACTTTGTGCTGGCTCTGCGTCGCCGCGGAGACGTGGAGAGCCAGGTGACCGGGCGGTGATGGATCGTCGCGGCCGCCGATGTGTGGGAATTGGACCTTGCAATGGCGCTCGTATTTTTTAAAATTTTAATTCCTTTTTAGTTTTTATTTTAAAAATATTACCACTTAGTTTTTTAAATTTTATCTTTAGCGCAACAAAATAACGCTGTTTGTGTTGGCGTGACAAGATGTGTCACGTTAGACGTCGATTTCCACGTGAAATCTTGTCACGTCGTTCCTGTTAACGCAAAATTACAGTTTTGTTGCCCCCGCGGGAGTGGCGTGAATGCGTGATAAGACTCGACCTTCAAAAATCATATCTTTTTGATATAATATTGGATAAAGATAATTTTTATATGAAAATTATAGAGGTTAATGAGATCTATAACTTTCTAGTTTTGATTTTTTTTTTCATTTAGGATCGCTAAGGTGGTCTAAAAAATAATATAAACTTTCAGTAGCATAATAATCGCTTACGTGTACAAGCGTCTGTCATCTTTTAAAAAATAAATTTTGTCTTGTATGAAGTAAAATGAAGATACTTTTATATAAAAGTTATATCTCTAAATGAGATATACAACTTTATGATTTTGAATTTTTACATTTAAGATCGTTAAGATAAATTGCATTGATGAGATCTACAAATTTTTAGTTTGAGATTTTCATTTGACATAGTTAAGATGCTTAAAAATTAATATAAATTTAAAAGACATATAATCTTGTACAAGGATATGCCTTTTAAAAAATTATATCTTTCTTATATAATGTCAGATAGATACTTTTCAAATATAAGACGTAGATCTTATTGGGAGCTACACATTTTATATAAAAAGTATATTTATCCAACATCATATTAGAAAATTTATTTTTCTAAAAAGACACGATTAATATATTCCTTAAAATTTATAAAAAAAATTATTTAGTACCTTCATAATTTCAAATGAAAAACCTCGAAACTAAAAAGGTACTGGTCTCATTGATATCTACATTTTTTTATAAAAAATATCTTCATTGGACATCAAAGAAGAATCATATATGTTTTAAGGGGGCAAGCCCGTTACGTGATTAATATATTAATAAAACTTTATTATCTTTTATTATCATAGCAATCTCAAATATAAAAATTCAAAACTAAAAAGTTATAAATTTCACTGGGAGCTATAACTTTTATATATAAAGCATCTTTATTTGATACCATACACGAAAGATATTATTTTTCTAAGGCGACAAGAGTTGGTACATGACTGAAAGTTTATATTATTTTTTTGGAGCATCTTAGCGATGTCAAATCAAAAACTCAAAACTATAAAGATGTATATCTCATTGAGAACTATAACTTTCATATATAAAGTGTTTTCATTTGACATCATAAAAGAAAGATATTATTTTTGTAAACCAACAAGCGCATGTACACAATTATTATGTTGCCGAAGCATCTTAGCGACCTGGGATGAAAAAAAATAAAACTAGAAAATTATAGATCTCGTCTCTACGATTTTTTATATAAGAATAATCTTCATCTGACATCATATGAAAAATATATGATTTTTTTTAATATTGAGCCTCGTCGCACCACTCTCTCTGAGCACGATAAAACAGTACTACCACGCTAATTGGAGTGCCATGAGAATTTTTTTTTTTAACCTTTTCTTAAAACAAATTCTAAATCTAACGTCGTCGTTTTTTTATTTTCAAATCTAACCCGTTTGACCGCGCCTAAGTCCATGGCACGATCAAAACACGCTACCGCGCCACATGCATCGGCGCGGCATGATCTGTCACGTCAGATAATGATTTTCACGTGTAAATCATTGCCGCGCTACTCCCGTCGGTGCGCCAACACCGTAGCGCCGCATCGACCAGACTGGCGCGGCAATGCACATCCTTAGAAAAATTATATTTTTTCATACAACCTTGGATGAAGATGATCTTTATATGAAAATTATAGCACTCGATGAGATCTACAACTTTTTAGTTTTGAGTTTTTCTATTTTAGGTAGTTAAGATGCTAAAAAAAATTAAACAATATTTCAGCACTATATTTATCATGTACAAGTGCTTGTCGGCTTCGAAAAATCATATCTTTGTTATATAGAGTCAAATGGAGATCTTTCTATATGAAAATTGTAGCTATCGACGAGATCTACAACTTTCTAGTATTGAGTTTTTTTATTTGAAGTCGTTAAGATGCTCAAAAAAAATTAAACAAAATTTTAGCAATATATTTATCGCGTACAAGCGCTTATCGCCTTGGAAAAAATCATATCTTTGTTATATGGAGTCAAATGGAGATACTTTCTATATGAAAATTGTAGCTCTAGATGGGATCTACAAATTTATAGTTTTGAGTTTTTGCATTTGAGATCACTAAGATGTTCAGTAAAAATAATATAAAGTTTCACCATCGTATTAATCGCATACCAGCTCTTGTCGTCTTGGAAAAATCTTATCTTTTTTGTACGGTGTCAAATGAAGATACTTTTTACATAAATGTTGTAGCACTTGATGAGATCTATAAGTTTAAAGTTTAAAGTTTTTTTATTTGAGGTCGTTATCTTAGGTGTGCGAAGTCACTGATTACTAATCGAGAGTCGACTCAGAACTCGGGTGCTAAAAAAACAGAGAGTTTAATCATATTTTGATTGCTAAAGGTGAATTGGACCAACAATAAAGTTTTTAACCTGAGGACTTGGAGGCACCTCAATAAAATCTTTGACGGACCGAAGTCTTAAGAGGTCCATCAAGCTCCAAGGGCTCTATGGTCTATTTTCCTTTTATTTGTAAGAACTTTTTCTTTGGGTGAGGCTGCAAAGACTTATTTTTTTTCCTTTCTTCCAGTAAGGTTTATTGTATTTCTCCTGAGGGTTCTATCCTAGTGAGGGTTCTATCCTAGAGAGAAAGATAAGAAGCTGGGAGTCCACGGTTCAAAGGGCTTCAAAATAAAATTTCAAACCGTCTGGCCAATTCCACCAAAAAACAAAACGAATAGCAGGTGGAAGTGGCATCAGACACCAATGAAACCTTTTATAAATTATATTAAATAACTTATTCAAATTATTACTAAATTTTCTTTTGAATGAAAGTAGCATCAGATGCCAATAAAACCTTTTATAATTTTTATTAAAGAATAATTTATTCAAATTATTATTGAATTTTCTTATGACATGATATGCCATAGTTTAATTTCTAAGTTTATTAGACCTCACCAATTTTACAATTAACGTTGTCAACTATTACGTAACTTTTTTCATCATCTTTGGATTAAAATTTTATGCAAAGCGACGATGAAAATGTAAGTGAGATAATAATAGTACGTGGTTCACTAAGCTATCTACAATGGCCATTGCACGAAGTTGGTGCACAGTTCTTTTCTATGAGCACCATGATATCATCATCTAACAAACCAATCATCTTCATCCGTTCTGGACTCCCGAGTCGACTCTCGATTGATAATCACTCACATCGCGTGCAAAAGATAATGACCTCCAATGAAAGAAAACTCCAAACTATAAAGTTGTAGATCCAATCAAGTGCTACAACTTTTATGTAAAAAATATCTTCATTTAGCACCGTACAAAAAAGATAAGATTTTTACAAGACGACAAGAGCTTGTATGCGATTAATACGATGTTGAAACTTTATATTATTTTTTCTAAACATCTTAGTAATCTCAAATGCGAAAACTCAAAACTATAGATTCGTAGATCTCATCTAGAGCTACAATTTTCATATACAAAGAATCTCCATTTGACTCCATATAACAAAGATATGATTTTTCTAAGGCGACGTGCGCTCGTACGCGGTTAATACACTGCTGAAATTTTGTTTATTTTTTTTGAGCATCTTAACAATCTCAAATGAAAAAGCTCAAAACAAGAAAGTTGTAGATCTTATCGAGAGCTACAATTTTCATATAGAAAGTATCTCCATTTGACTCCATATAACAGAGATATTTTTTTCCAAGGCGACAAGTGCTTGTATGCGACTAATATACTGCTGAAACATTGTTTAATTTTTTAAGCATCTTAACGATCTCAAATAGAAAAAAAATCAAAGTTAGAAAGTTGTAGATCTTTATCGAGAGCTACAATTTTTATATAAAGATCATCTTCATCCGAAGTCATATAAAAAAGATATAATTTTTTTAAGGTTGTGCCTTGCCGCACCAGTCTAGTCTAGTTGTGCGTGGTGCGGCAAGGATTTACACGTGAAAATCGTTGTCCGACGTGGCAGATTGTGCCACGCCGATGCATGTGGCGCGACAACGTGTTTTGGTCACGTCATGGACTTAGATGTGGGCAAATAGGTTAGATTTGAAAATAAAAAAATAACAGTGTTAGATTTGGAATTTGTTTTAAGAAAAGATTAAAAATAATAAAAAAATTCTGGCATGACAAGGTCTTCCATTAGAAAGATCTAGTTGGTGGTTTTCTTTGGTCTTTTAAGTATGGATCGATCTCATATAGTGGCTGCTTCGGAAGATGTAGGTGGCGCATGCGTGTTCTCGTCCGCTGGGACATGGACCTAACTGGACCTAATGTGTCCGTTGTGTGGGTGCGGATCAAGATTCGTGTCTAAACCGGTCCAATATTTAAACATGTTTAGTTGACAATAAGCTTAGTCGTTAACTATTTATTATTTTTAAGGCATCTTTGAATTGTGGGATTTTTTCTAGTCTCCTAAGTTTGTTCTGTAAAAATAAATTGATTCCTATAAAATTCCTAATTAATTTCTGTGAAATTCCAAAGGACCCTTAAATTGCAATGTCGCTATCTAATATGGGTTTTAAATAATACTGTTGCCAGAGATTGTTGAACATTACTCGTTTTGTTTTGCCTATAAACAAATAAACATTTTCGTTGCGAAAAAAAAAATCACCCACGCGTGGAGGAAGTGTTTGAACTCCGCCGCCACCTCCACAACCTGCGACTCGAGCGGTGCGTCCCGCGGCCGCGGGGAAATGGCGGAGCGGGACCGGATCCTGGAGAGGGAGCGGAGGCAGATGGAGCAGATCCTAGAGCTGGATATGGAGGAGCTCCAGGTAGAGGAGGTCGACGACGACGGTTCATCCTCCTCCTCCGACGTCGACACCTTCCTCAGGTCCGAGCGCCCCCCTTGCCCCTTTCTTACAGTTCCTTGCGGGGGATAGAGTGGTGTGACTGACGATGTTAGTTATTGTGAAAATACATTACACACTGAATTCGGAGGCGGTGGAGATTAGGATTGGGGAATTTTTGCAAACTTAAGCCTTCTTTTTTTTACGAGAGTTTTACCTCAGCTTTTAAGAAAGCATAGTCGGATACAATACTGGGGAAGCCAGTTCCTCAGGAAAGCAAAATAACACACGACAGCCTAGTACATGATCTAGATTTCACAGATATCAGTAGACATCAACACACTAGGCCTGAAATTCTTCATCCAGCGCAGGATTTCGTCCTCCACTTGCAGAATGCGTTGGCGACCCTCCTCCTTGAGGAGTACACTCCACTTCTGCAGGAATGATAATGCAACATAGATGATGTCAGACGGGGCCTTTGGAAACTTGTTTTCAATAGCCATCTTGTTCCTATTATTCCAAATAGCCCAAGCAAAACCTGCAAAGATGAAAAGGGTTAATCTGATGGTTAGGAGCACCTTGCCCTGTAACCATGTTTCAGATAAGATCTTCACAGACGTTGGGCAATTTTGCCATTTAAAGATCTCTCTTAGGAAGCCCCAAATCATTCTAGCTATAATGCAATCAAAAAAAGATATGATTCACAGATTCCATAATCCCACACAGGCAGCATTTCTCACAACCTTTCCAACCTCTCTTGCTAAGGCTTAGAGCACATTGCAGTTTAAAACCTGCCAGAGAAAAAAATTGATCTTCAAGGGAATTCTACATTTCCACAGATGACCAGCTATTCTGCTAGTAACCCCACCATTGGATATGAATCTGTAGAGGGATTTTGTAGAGAAGTGGCCTTTTTTCTCAAACCCCAACTAACCATGTCAGAGCCCTCCTCATCTAAAGATATTCTGCTAAGCTCTCGCTTGAGCTCAATCCATCTCTCAAATTCCCTTAAAGATTAGGATTGGGGAATTTTTGCAAACTTAAGTGTTAGAATAGGCGCCCTAATGGGCTGGCCTTGGGCCTGGCGCCTAGCCTGTTAGGATGGTTGCCTTAGGGGTTAAGATAGATAGATTACATTGATAAGGCAAGGATCACCGTTGATTGGGTGTTTCTATAAACCCTATTGATCCTTGCCTATATATTATACCCTGTACTGCTGCTAATCTATTAATCAATTTCCGAGACCTATTCGCTCTCATGGTATCAGCCGCCTAGGTTTAGGTCTCCTCTTCCGCTGCCCACTCCACGCGCGCCGGCCCCTCGCCGCGCTGCGCCCTACAGGCTGAGGAGGAGGCCACAACCGCGGCTAAGGATCGCGACGCCGCCGCCTAGCGCGCTAGCGAGGCACTGGCGTGCGCTGCCAAGGAGCGGGCGGCCGCTGCTGCCGCCGTTGCTCCGGAACCCTCTGGCGCCGCACCTGGAGGCACTTCAGCGCCGCCACTCGATCTTCGGGCTGCCATGCTGCATCACGAGGCTGTTGCCCTTCTGCAGCTCCATGCTCAGGCTGTTGCAGTCAGCAACATCCGGAACCACGTCACCACCATCCTTGACGTCGATTCCGGTAACTTCAACCGTTGGCGTGATCAGTTCCTTCTCATCCTCGGCAAGTTCTCCCTCTAGGACCACGTTCGAGAGGAACCTCCAGCCCCAATTCCTCCTGATTGGGCCCGGATGGATTGCGTCGTCAAGTCCTGGATCGTCGCCACGCTCACCGACGACCTTGGCGAGATCATCTCCGCCCAGGGCTCCACCGCTCGGCATGCCTGGCTCGCCGTCGAGTCGCAGTTCCTTGGCAACCGTGAGGCTCGCTCCATCCACCTCGAGACACGGTTTCGCAACCTCGTCCAGGGCGACCTCTCCGTCACCGACTACTGCCGCAAGTTGAAAAAGATGGCCGATGATCTCACGGCCCTTGGCGAGGTCGTCACCGACCGCACGCTCGTCCTCAACGTGATCCGCGGCCTCAACGAGCACTTCAGCCATGTTGGGACGCTCCTTCGTCGAGCTCGACCGTTCCCCACCTTCCTGGAGGCTCGTGACGACCTCATCCTCGAGGAACTCACCATGGAGACCCGCAAGGACGCACCTGCCACTGCGCTCGCCGCCTCCACCACTCCCAGCCCTGCCCCTGCGTCCTCCGGCACGGGCGCTGGTTGGCACTCCAAGCCGCCTAACAACCGTCGCAGCAAGCGCGCGGGTGGCGAAAAAAACAACAATGCGGTGGCCCTCTCGGGACGAGGGTCACGCCCCACTGGTGGCGCCTAACAAGAAGAAGAAGCAATGGCCGGCGGCGGCGGCCCATGGCCAGCGTCTACAACCTCGGACCGGAACCATTCGGATGTGGCGAGGGGCCCTCGTCCACCGTCACCGCACCCATCCTGATGCCTCCTCACACGCAGCGAACAGCACAACATCACGCCTGAAGGCGTGCCTTCTCGCCCAACAAAGAAGAAGACGCCTTGTTTGCCCACCACAGAAAGCCGCCGCCTCCCTCGCTCTCCCGATGGCCTCGATAAGGTCGCCCGGGTATTACAACCCGGTGGCGGCCTCCCCTCTTGGGACCCGACGGCCCTCGCCTCCGCCTTGAAAGACTGGTCACCGCCCCTCCTACGTCCAACGAGAGTGGTACTTGACTCAAAAGCTACTTCACATATGACATCTCGGTTCTCCTCTCTTTCACATGTTCTTCTCCCATGGTACCCTACTCCTTCATCCATTGTTGTCGGTAATGGCTCTCTTCTTCCTGTCATCGCCACTCGGCTCTCTGAGTTGTCTCGTAATTTACGTCTTAATAATGTCCTTGTGTCGCCATAAATTATTAAGAATCTTATCTCTGTTCACAATTTACTATCGACAATAATTGTTCTGTTGAGTTTGACCTCACCGGTTGTTCTGTGAAGGTTCTTCCATCTCGGACCGAGATCGTCAGTGCAATAGCTCGGGCAGCTATACCCTCTGCGCCTTACCCCTCAAAGACACTCCCTTTGTCGCCTGTGCTTCCTCCTCATTGTGGCATCGGCGTCTTAGCCACCCTCATGAGGCGTTGTCGAAGCTCGCGTCTAGTGTCTCTCCGTCATATTCGTGGATTGCTTAGAGTTATGTCATGCTTGTCAGTTAGGGCGTCATGTTCGTTTGCCCTTTCATGAGTCCACCTCCCGTGCGTCTACCAAGTTTGATCTTATACATTGTGATTTATGGACCTCTCCAGTTGTCAGCATTTCTGGTTATAAATACTACTTGGTCATACTTGATGATTGCACTCTTATTTGTGGACGTTTCCTTTGCGGCTTAAATTTGACACTTTCAGCACGCTTGCTCACTTCATCGCTCACGCCTCCACCCAGTTTGGCGCCCGGGTCAAGGCTGTTAAGTGCGACAACGGGAAAGAGTTTGACAACTCTAGCTCCCGTCAGTTTTTCCTCACTCAGAGGGCATCCACCTTCACATGTCCTGTCCCTACACATCGTCTCAAAACGGTAAAGCTGAACACATTATTCGCTCCATCAATAATGTTGTTCGCTCACTGCTCTTTCAGGCGTCCATGCCTCCGTCCTACTGGGTAGAGGCCCTCTCTACAGCCATTGTTCTGCTCAACATACTGCCTACCAAGACTCTACAGTTTTCCACGCCGCACCTTGCCCTGTTCGGCAAGCCACCAGCATATGATCACCTACGAGTCTTTAGTTGCAAATGTTACCCAAACATGTCGGCTACTGCACCCCACAAACTCGCCCCTAGGTCTGTCCTATGTGTCTTCCTACGCTATTCCGCTCATCACAAAGGGTACCGCTGCCTTGACCTCTCCTCCAATAGAGTTATCGTCTCCCGGCACGCCATCTTCGATGAAACGGCCTTTCCCTTTGCTGAGCGCCATGGTCCTAGTGCTCCAGCAGACCTACAGTTCCTCGATGACGATACTACTGACCCTGTGCTCCCTCCTATTGGACCGATGCACAAGTTTTTGTCTGCAGGAACACCACCCAGCACCGCTGATGTCTCCAGCGCCCCTGCCGGTCCCACCGCGACTGTGCCTGGGGCGCCCCTGCCTGCTGATGATGCTGATGATCCACCGGTGCCCGCGCTCTACATTCCACCAGCGCTGCGGGCGTCGGGGACACCTACCGCGCCACGCGCGGCCACCAGACCAGCTTCTCCCGCTTCTGCCAGCGGCACACGCGCGCCCAACACGCCGGAGAGGCCTCCCGCTCTACATCCCGCGCCTGCGTGCGGCAAAGCGCAGACTTCACTGGTTCCCACCTCTCCGATCGGATCGGGCCTTCACGTACCACTAACACGCGCCGCCGCTCGCCTCGACCGCTATTTCCGCCCACCGGCCGCCCACCGCTTTCGCTTGCCATTGCGCTGCATCGGCCGCCCCGCTACCCAAGGGCGCCGTTGTTGCATCATTCCATGATTTAACCAAAGACACTATGAGCACGCGGTCAAGAGCGGCTATCGGATGCCTCGCTCCTACCACGCCGCCCCTCTGCGTGCCCAAGACCTTTCGTAGCGCTCTCGCTGACCCCAATTGGCGAGCGGCTATGAAAGAACACAGTGCTCTCTTGCAAAATCACACTTGGGACCTCGTGCCTCGACCTCCTCGGGCCAACGTCGTCACTGGCAAGTGGATTTTCAAGCACAAGTTTCAGTCCAATGGCACCCTTGAGCGGTACAAGGCACGCTGGGTTCTTTGTGGCTTTACCCAGTGGCCTGGTGTTGACTTTGATGAGAAGTTCAGTCCTGTGGTGAAGCCCGCTACTGTCCGCACGGTGCTCTTCTTGGCGCTCTCTCGCACCTGGCCCATCCACCAGCTAGATGTGAAGAACGCCTTTCTTCATGGCAATCTGTCTGAGGTTGTGTATTGCCAGCAGCCGTCCAGGTTCGAAGATCCAGCTCACCCGGACTTTGTCTGCCTTCTGAAGAAATCCCTTTACGGCCTGAAGCAGGCTCCTCGCACATGGTACAGCCGGATGGCCTCGTTCCTGCTGTCTATTGGGTTTCAGCCTGTTCGGGAGGCCGTATCGTATCGTGGATTATTTACTGCTGGCTGGTTTGGTGTGAGAGAAAAACACTGTTCCCGGCTGGAAATTTACGATCGTTTACGAGCAAGCGAATAGGCTATTTGTTGAAGCCAAGTCATACACCTCACTTTTTATTTACCGGTGTGGATCAGATACAACCTACCTGTTGCTCTGTGGATGACATTGTCCTCACAGCTTCCTCACCCGGTCTCCTTCGGCGGATTATCTCAGCGCTTCAGCAGGAGTTCGCCATGAAAGACCTCGGTGCATTGCATCACTTCCTTGGTATGCAGGTTCAGCGAAGTGGTGATGGCCTCCTCTCACAAAATGACGATATATGCCGGACATTCGAACGTGCGAGAATGACAGAGTGCAAGCCGTGCTCCACTCCAGTTGACACCAATCCGAAGGTTGCTTTGCAGCCGATGGGGCCCTTGTATCCGATGCTCTGAGACTTCCGCAGCTTTTTGCCGGAGCTCTCCAATGACTGACGTTCACCCCCCAGACATTGCATATGCGATTCAAAGAGTGCCGCCTCCACATGCATGATCCTCGTGAGCCTCACCTTGCTGCCCTAAAGAGGATTCTTTGCTACGTTTAAGGCACTCTTCACCTTGGTCTCCTGCTGCGACTGTCTACTTCGACTGATCTTGTCGTCTACACCGACGCTGACTGGGCTGGTTGTCCGGACACTCGCAAGTCTACCTCAGGCTATGCGGTGTTCCTTGGTGACAACCTTGTTTCCTGGTCCTCGAAGCGTCAGAACACAGTGTCAAGATCTAGTGCTGAAGCCGAGTATCGCGCGGTGGCCAATGGAGTTGCAGAGGCTGCCTTAGGGGTTAAGATAGATAGATTACATTGATAAGGCAAGGATCACCGTTGATTGGGTGTTTCTATAAACCCTATTGATCCTTGCCTATATATTGTACCCTGTACTGCTGCTAATCTATCAATCAATTCCCGAGACCTATTCGCTCTCTGTCGGTGTTTCGGACCGGGGGGTCCTCAACCAACCAGTGAATTTGAACTGCGTGCCCCTAATCCCGGATGTTGATGCAAAGAGACACAAGGTTTATACTGGTTCAGGCAATCGGTGCCCTACGTCCGGTCGAGGATCGATCTTGTATTCCTTGCAATCAAGTGCTTGTAGTAGGGGGTTACGAGTTTGGTGAGAGAGGAGCTAGTCCTGTGTCTCGGCGTGGAGCGATCTGGTTGCTTGAGTCGTTGCTCTCGGCGACTTGGGAGCGCAGCGTGTTACGGAGTGTTGCTTAGGCGTGTGTGAGGCGTGGTTCTTTCAGTATGTTTTTGTTGCCCCCTAGAGCTATCCCCGGGCCGCTTCCTTTTATAACCGCAAGGATGGAGCCAGAGTACATGAGTGAGCTACACGTGGAGCCCATCAGTAGTTCAATCTGTGAGCAAACATGGTGTTGGGAATGGCGATTGGTACTTGATCGGCGCGCTGTGGCTTGGCAGTGTCCGAGGGTTGTTGAGGTCGTGGGAGTCCTTGTTGACGTCTAGTCGGTATGGCCTCCATCGTAGGAGACATGCCATGCCTTGTGGGTTCTTGACTTGGTGGAGTCGCAGGGGCACGGTGTCTTTATGGTTGATCGTGCCGAGGCCTCGCTTTGCCGGGCCTCGGAGGTGACCCGTGTATGATGCGGGGGTCTCTGTGGTCGGCGTCGTGCCGGTCCAGTGGAAAAGTGCGGGCGTGTGTCCACAGGGGCACGGTAACCCCTGCACCGCGTCGAGGGGATGGTAAAAAAGAGATTTGACCGTCCCCATCGCCCCGTTGTTGTACCACCGCCATCATGGCGGCGTAGTAGGTGTGGCCAAAGCTTAAACGGATGGAACGGCTCGCCGAGGGGACGGTTGAGGCGGAGGAGACGAGGATGCGGGGAGAGAGCCCGGCCTCGGCCGAGGCGGAGAAGGAATAGTACGTCCGAGGCCCTGCCGGGGCGCATCGGACGAGGCGGAGGACGAGCGGTTGGTCTTTCATGCTGATTCCGAGACTACAGGGACCAGGACTTGACCCTCCACGCCACTTTGTCCTTGGCGCAGGAGTTAGGTAGCACAGGCGATATGGGTGTCGGCGAAGGGCACGATGATGAGCACGATGGCGAGCAACCCCTACTGCGCCGGGCCCCCCGTCCCGTCGGTCATTCTCGCTCAGATCTTGTGCCAACGTCGTCGGCCGGCGTTATGGGAGTAGTGGGGCGCATTAACTGGACGTGACGTTTTGTCAGAGGAGTCGGTCGGGACGGAGGTGACGAGGTTGTTGTCCCGTCCAAGGCCTTGCGGGGCGGGGCCTCGGCGAGAGGGCCTCGGCGGGGCGGAGGGCTTTGGCCTTTCGTCTGAGGCCTCGGCGCAAGCCTTGGGCGAGTCGGAGAATCTGCCGAGACCTCGTGGTTGTCCTTTGGCTTTGATTTTTGCAAGACTTAAACAATATTTTTGGTTCTTACTTAGGGTACCCCTTCTTGTGGTATCCGACACTCTCATTAAGCTCATAGAAAACAGCAAAATCTGGAGCTTAAACTAAAATTTGTTTTAAGCGCAGAGCTTACAGCGGAGATGGTTAGTGGTTACTTCGCACTCATAGCCAACATTTAGTTCGCAACACAATTTTGCTGATGTACTCAAACTTATGGTTGGTGGAGTCTTGTCTTTTGATCTATTGGAAGACGGGGGCATGACCCTAAAACTCTAAAAAAGGTTGGTGGAGGAGTGATGAGGTAGTATACATGGTGCCCACAAGTTCGGTTATATTCAAAGTTTTGCTACTAATGATTAATACGATAGATAACATCTTAAGGCCCTTGGTTCAATGGGATGAGTGAACATAATATATGGTCTGCTAAACATTTCCCCAATACCTGTACCTGCATTCATTTAAATGGTATAGATAGAAGTGAATTTGTATGAGCTTGTTGCTACTCAATGTTTGTGTGGACTCTTGTTTTATTCTTTTTTCTTCTTCACATTCTTTAATCGCAGAAATGCTCATGGAGATGGAGGGATTAACACTTCTGAGGAGCTTATGGTTGATACATCTACTGTTTCCTTGCAAGATGACACCTACCTTGGTAAATATTCATGCTAATCTTATTTGTGTATTTTATATTCCTAGATAGATTCGGATTTTATATCCCTAGATTCAATGCATGAACAGTCTGGTTATTTGCTAGAGGCAAAGATCGATGGTGCACGAGGCAAATTTGCTTTCCTGGATGGAGACAGAGTCCTGAATCTGCCAACGTTTTACCTTCAAGGTAGCATTCCTGCTTCCTGTGGACCATGCAGTGTATGACAAAGCTTACCTCAAATTAATTTGAATATGAGGACAATACATTTTGAAGTGGACCATCCTGTTGTCCTTCCTGAAATCTGAACAGACCTAATATTGATTGTGTAACTAGTGGTAATAATCTCATCTTACAAAGTATATATAGAAATGCCCATCTGTGTTGGCCTTTTTCACCGGAGTGAGGACTATTCTATGTTGATGGCGTACATTTTCAACATAGTGGAATTATATTAAATGTTCTGTCATGGAACTTCTGCAGGAGTTGTTTTGTTTCCTGAAGCTTCCCTACATCTTCGAGTGTTTCAGCCTAGATTAGTGGAAGCTATTGACAAGGCTATTAATCATGTTGATGCTCCATGCATGATAGGCGTGGTGAGTGCCATTTCTCATTGTCATGATGCATTGTTACATTGTCTATTTTAATTGGCTATGGTCCAATGTCAGGTTTATGTTTATCGACACACAAATGATGGACATTATACTATTGCTTCTGTCGGGACAATGGCAGAGGTGTGGTTTCTAAGCTATTAGTTACTAGTTATGTCATGTGTACTTGTGGTCTTCCTCCTCGTTGAGTTGTTTCTACTAGTGATTGAGTATCTGCTCATATGATAGAATGATAAAATTATTTCTATATTAATGTACATGATCTTTCTATCTAGGAACCAAAAAGAACAAATATCTTTGATGTCTTCTATAATAAGTTAGTAACAACTAAAGCCTAGACGAGGGGCGACAAAACATAGGGCTAGGGTGCTGCACTACAGTAAAATGAAATTTAGGTCACAGTTGGCTTGTTTTGACCATATCCTCCTGGTGCACCACTGCCATTTTGGTTCCAGCTTCACCACTGGACTAGACTTGGAATCTGTAAACAAATTTAATGCCATCTAAAAGACATATATCAAACCATTTAGAAGAAATATCTTTCGATCGAACAAGATGCCTGAGGAGTGGAGAAAAAGCATATTGGTACCAATCTACAAGAACAAGTGAGATATCCAAAGTTGTACTAATTATCGGGGAATTAAGTTGATGAGCCATACTATGAAATTATGGGAGAGAGTCATCAAGCAGCGCCTGCGAGGAACGACGCAGATATCAACAAACCAATTTGGTTTCATGCCCGAAGAGGTCAACCACAGAAGCAATCTTCTTAATAAGACAGGTCATGGAGCGGTTTAGAGAGCAGAAGAAGAACCTCCACTTGGTTTTCATTGACTTGGAGAAGGCTTATGACAAGATACCAAGAAATGTTATGTGGTGGTCTTTGGACAAACATAAAGTCCCATCAAAGTACGTGACCCTCATCAAGGACATGTACAACAATGTTGTGACTAGTGTTCGAACAAAAAATGGTAACACAAATTACTTCCCGATTAAAATTAGACTTCATCAAGGATCAGCCTTAAGCCCGTATCTCTTTGCCTTGGTAATGGAAGAGGTTACCAGGAACAAACAAGGGGATATCCATTGGTGTATGTTGTTCGCTAATGATGTAATGTTAGTGGACGAAAGCCAGACGGAAGTAAATAGGAAACTAGAGTTATGGCGGTAGACCCTTGAGTCTAAATGTTTTAGATTGAGCAGAACTAAAACCGAATACATGAGATGCGATTTTGGCGGAGTTGTACAGGAGGAGGGAGATGTGAGTTTGAAAGGTCAAGTAGTGCCTAAGAAGGATACATTTCGGTATCTGGGAATCGATGCTACAGAGGGATGGAGATATTGATGCGGACATTAGCCATAGAATTAAAGCAGGGTGGATCAAGTGGCGACAAGCTTCTGGCATTCTGAAAGGTCCTAATGGCTAGAGGAGGGGTGAATAGCCTAATAAAAATTTCTACAACAACACTTAACAAACCGGTTAGACACTTATGAGACGAAGCAAGTGTTGCGCTAGCCTACTCAAAATGCAAGTCACCTACCACAATTCTAGTTTATATGATTTCTATCCACACAATAACTATATCACTATACTAAGTTAGTGTGCTCTCAAAGACTAACTAAAGAGCTACACTAACCAAACTAACAAACTCTCACAACTAGCTATACTAAAGAGCTTGACAACTAGTTTGCGGTAATGTAAATGGAGTGATCAAGAAGGTTATACCACCGTGTCGAGGAAGGAGCCAATCAATTACAAGAGTGAATAACAATGAAGACCAATCACCTAGTAATCAAAGGATGAACACAATGATTTTTTACCGAGGTTCACTCGCTTGCCGGCAAGCTAGTCCTCGTTGTGGCGATACACTCACTTGGAGGTTCACGCGCTAATTGGCTTCACACGTCAAACCCTCAATAGGGTGCCGCACAACCAACACAAGATAAGGATCACACAAGGCACGAGCAATCCACTAGAGTATCTTTTGACGCTCCGCCGGGGAAAGGTCAAGAACCCTTCACAATCACCACGATCGGAGCCGGAGACAATCACCACCCTCCGCTCAACGATCCTCGCTGCTCCAAGCCGTCTAGGTGGCGGCAACCACCAAGAGTAACAAGCGAATCCCGCAGCGAAACACGAACACTAAGTGCCTCTAGAAGCAAACACTAAAGCAATGCATTTGGATTCTCTCTCAATCTCACAAAGATGTTTGATCTATGATGGAAATGAGTGGGAGGGCTTTGGCTAAGCTCACAAGGTTGCTATGTCAATGCAAATGGTCAAGAGAGTATTGAGCCGGCCATGGGCCTTAAATAGAAGCCCCCACGAAATAAAGCCGTTGTACCCATTCATTGGGTACAGCGCGGGGTGACCGGACGCTCCGGTCCTGATCGACCGGACGCTGGCCCTCAGCGTCCGGTCACGTGATGCACGCCACGTGTCCTCTGCTTCAAATACTGTTCGTCGGATTTCAACGGTCATCTCCTGACCGGACGCTCCGCTACAACTGACCGGACACTCAGCCTCCAGCGTCCGGTCGTTTGCAGTAAGGTTCCAGAAACGAATTTTGCCGACCGGACTCGTCCGGTCATGCATGACCGGACCCTGCCATAGTTCGATCACATGTTGACTTAACACTGCGCTGTTGGTCAACGCGACCGGACACAGCCTTCCAGCGTCCGGTCGCTGAGTGACCCAGCGTCCGGTCATTCACCGACGCTGGCGTCTTCACTGCTATACATGGCCGGACGCGCCGATCCCCCAGAGGTCCAGCGTTCGGTCACTATATAGCCAGCGACACTAACTCCTTTTCACCTCTAACTTCTTCACCCTTGTTCAAATGTGCCAACCACCAAGTGTATCACTTTTGTGCACATGTGTTAGCATATTTTCACAAACATTTTTAATGGTGTTATCACTCCACTATATACTAAATGCATATGCAATGAGTTAGAGCATCTAGTGGCACTTTGATAACCGCATTCCGATATGAGTTTCGGCCCAAAAGGAAGCCGTGTTGATAGCTTCGGCCTAAAATGATTGACTCACATTGTACTTACTAAGCCGTGTTGATAGCTTCGGTCCAAAAGGATTGACTCACATTGTACTCACTAAGCATAGACCATGCCATATCAATGAGTGTTCTATTCTTTCTCTCAACAAGGTCATTTGATTGCGGAGTGTACTTGGCCGAGAATTGATGTCTAATTCCAAATTCATCATATAACTCATCAATTCTAGTAATCTTGAACTCACTACCATTGTCATTTCTAACTCTCTTGATGGTTGTTTCAAACTCATTGTGAATGCCCTTGACAAATGTTTGAATGTTGCAAACACATCACTTTTGTCCACTAGAAAAAATACCCATGTGTATCTAATGTAGTCATCCACTGTCACAAAGCCATATTTGTTACCACCAATGCTAGCATATTGTGTTGGCCCAAACAAGTCAATGTGCAATAACTCAAATGCTTTACTAGTGCTCATCGTGCTTTTCTTAGGATGGGTGTTTTCAACTTGTTTGCCGGCTTGACAAGAGCTACAAAGCTTATCTTTTTCAAACACATCTTTCAAGCCTCTAACCAAAATCATGCTTAACCAATCTATTCAATTGTTTTATTCCAACATGACCATGCCTTCTATGCCATAACCAACCCATACCAGACTTAGTGAACAAGCATGTGGATAATCTAGCTGCACTAGCATTGAAATCAACCAAGTATAGATTCTCATATCTAAAGCCTCTGAAGATCAAGTTAGAGCCATCTACACTTATGATCTCTACATCATCTACCCCAAATATGCATTTGAATCCAAGATCACACAATTGAGCCACGTATAGCAAATTGAAGTTCAAGCTCTCTACTAGCAACACATTGGATATGCTCATGTCATTGGATATTGCAATTTTACCAAGCCCTTTGATCTTGCCTTTGCCATTGTCACCAAATGTGATACTATCATAACCATCATTGCCATTGGTGTTGATTGAGTTGAACATTCTTGCATCACCGGTCATGTGTTGAGTACACCCACGATCAAGAACCCAATGCCTTCCTTCAGCTTTGTAATTAACCTACAAAAGAAAATAAATTCTTTTTAGGTACCCAAACTTGTTTGGGTCCTTAAAGGTTAGTCACTAAGCTCTTTGTTACCCAAATGACTTTCTTCTTTGAGCCCATTCATGGTTTATCAATGAACTTAGTCTTTACACCATTTGTTCCCTTAGTAAGCATATAGTATGAATGAAGCTTAAGGGAGGATACATTAGCATTTTTACTCTTGTTGGTACATTCATGCTCTTTATGACCCACTTGCTTTTAACTAATGCAAAACCGACCATTGTTCTTCACAAAACTAGTCTTGTGAGGAGCAAAGGCCGCCTTGCCTTTCTTGGGGTTATCGCCCAATCTCTCTTTGTAGAGAGAAGCTCTTTGGCTACCCAAGCACATAAGCAAGCGGTCCTCACCACCATAAGCCTTAGTCAAAGTGTGAGTGAGTTTGTTAACCTCCTTCTTGAGATTCTCATTCTCAACCACTAGTTAGGCATCACAAGTGAGACCATCACCACTAGATGAGATGGAAGTGAAAGTACTATAAGAAGGGTTAGTAGAAGGAACAATGATAGGCATAGATAGTGATTCATCAATTATATCACAAGTTAAACCTACATTGCAAGTTTCAACATGCTTCCTTTTATTTTGCTCATCAAACAAAGAAAGCCTTTTCAAGCTTTTTGTGAGCCATGCCAAGCTTCTCATGGGCATCCTCTAGCCTCTCATGAGATGCATTGAGCTCATCAAAGGCTTGCTTAAGGGTTTTAGTTCCTTATGCAAGCTTTTGCATTCTCTTTTTTTGATGTCAAAGTGTTCTCTAGCATCTTCTAGCATGTCAATTAATTCATCCTTAGTAGGTTCATCATCATCACTATCACTATCATTTTCATTTTCATTATCATCATCATGTTCTTCATCACTTTCATCATCACAAGTTTGTACTTTAGTGGCCTTACCTATGAAGCATAATGAAGAGTCGAAGAGAGAAGGCTTCTCATTGATAGCAATGTTTGCTAGAACCTTCTTCTTGGTGGTCTTATGATCATCACTATCATCATCATCATCACTTGAGGAAGCATCACTATCCCAAGTGACCACATATGAACCACCCTTCTTCTTCTTGATGGCCATCTTGTCCTTCTTCTCTTTCTTTTCCTTCTTGTCCTTCTTCTTGTTCTTCTTGTTGTCATCATCATTGTCGCTATTATATGGACATTGAGCAACAAGATGATCTTTGCTTCCACACTTGAAACATCTTCTTGACTCTTCTTTGTTCTTGGATGAAGACTTCTTTCTTCTAGCACGGTAGCCCTTCTTCACTATGAACTTGCCAAATCTCTTGACAAAGAGAGCCATCTTCTCATCATTATCATCATCCCATAAGTCATCTTCTTCACTTGATGTTTCTTGCTTGGCTTTGCCCTTGGATGATGTGGCCTTGAATGCCACGCTCTTCTTCTTGTCATCCTTCTTCTCATCTTTCTTCTCCTTTTTCTTTCTTCTCATCATCATCTCTATATGTATCTTCGGCCGCGGTGGGATTCTCTGGATCATCAATCTCAATTTTGGTTTCTACCACCTTTCACACCTTTCTATTGATTGACTTAATATGTGTGGTCATCTTTGACTTCTAATATGGATAATTTGTGCCATCAAATTGGAGTGGCTTCTTTGTGTTGTTGATTTGAGCCATTTTTACACTGAAGGTTGTTAAGCCTCAAATCACGGTGACCTCGGCTCCGATACCACTTGAAAGATCCTAATGGCTAGAGGGGGGGGTGAATAGCCTAATAAAATTTCTACAGCAACACTTAACAAACCGGTTAGACACTTATGAGGCGAAGCAAGTGTTGCGCTAGCCTACTCAAAATGCAAGTCATCTACCACAATTGTAGTTTATATGATTTCTATCCACACAATAGCTATGTCACTATACTAAGTTAGTGTGCTCTCAAAGGCTAACTAAAGAGCCACACTAACCAAACTAACAAGCTCTCACAACTAGCTACACTAAAGAGCTTGACAACTAGTTTACGGTAATGTAAATAGAGTGATCAAGAAGGTTATACCACCGTGTCGAGGAAGGAGCCAATCAATTACAAGAGTGAATAACAATGAAGACCAATCACCTAGGAATCAAAGGATGAACACAATGATTTTTTATCGAGGTTCACTTGCTTGCCGACAAGCTAGTCATCGTTGTGGCGATACACTCACTTGGAGGTTCACGCGCTAATTGGCTTCACACGCCAAACCCTCAATAGGGTGCCGCACAACCAACACAAGATGAGGATCACACAAGCTACGAGCAATCCACTAGAGTACCTTTTGGCGCTCCGCCGGGAAAAGGTCAAGAATCCTTCACAATCACCACGATCGGAGCCGGAGACAATCACCATCCTCCGCTCGACAATCCTCGCTGCTCCAAGCCGTCTAGGTGGCGGCAACTACCAAGAGTAACAAGCGAATCCCGCAGCGAAACACGAACACCAAATGCCTCTAGATGCAAACACTCAAGCAATGCACTTGGATTATCTCCCAATCTCACAAAGATATTTGATCTATGATGGAAATGAGTGGAAGGGCTTTGGCTAAGCTCACAAGGTTGCTATGTCAATGCAAATGGCCAAGAGAGTGAGCTTGAGCCGGCCATGGGGCTTAAATAGAAGTCCCTACGAAATAGAGCCGTTGTACCCCTTCACTTGGTACAGCGCGGGGTGACCGGACGCTCCGGTCCTGATCGATCGGACGCTGGCCCTCAGCGTCCGGTCACGTGATGCACGCCACGTGTCCCCTGCTTTAAATACTGTTCGTCAGATTTCAACGGTCATCTCCTGACCGGACGCTCCGCTACAACTGACCGGACACTCAGCCTCCAGCGTCCGGTCGTTTCCAGTAAGGTTCCATAAACGAATTTTGCCGACCGAACTCGTCCGGTCATGCATGACCGGACCCTGCCAGAGTCCGATCACATGTTGACTTAACACTGCGCTATTGGTCAACGCGACCGGACACAGCCTTCCAGCGTCCGGTCGCTGAGTGACCCAGCGTCCGGTCATTCACCGACGCTGGCGTCTTCATTGCTATACATGGCCGGACGCGCCGGTCCCCCAGAGGTCCAGCGTCCGGTCACTGTATAGCCAGCGACACTAACTCCTTTTCACCTCTAACTTCTTCACCCCTGTTCAAATGTGCCAACCACCAAGTATATCACTTTTGTGTACATGTGTTAGCATATTTTCACAAACATTTTCAAGGGTGTTATCACTCCACTAGATCCTAAATACATATGCAATGAGTTAGAGCATCTAGTGGCACTTTGATAACCGCATTCCGAGATGAGTTTCACCCCTCTTAATAGTACGGCTAACAAACCTAAATGTGATCACAATTTCTAAGTGTCTTGATCACCAAAACAAAATAGCTCCTACAAAATATACCTTTGCCTTGAGCTTTTTGTTTTTCTCTTTCTTCTTTCCAAGTCGAAGCACTTGATCATCACCATGCCATCATCATCATCATGCTATGAACTTCATTTGCTTCACCATTTGGAGTGTGCTACCTATCTCATGATCACTTGATAAACTAGGTTAGCACTTAGGGTTTTATCAATTCATCAAAACTAAACTAGAGCTTTCACATTCTCTGTGACAAGAGGATACCACAAAAGCTAAAAGGCAAGTTTTATAGAACGGCGATTAGACCAGCTATGTTGTATGGAGCAGAATGTTGGTCTACAAAAATTCGACATGCTCAACAAGTGAGTGTTGCAGAAATGCGTATGTTGCGATGGATTTGCGGTCATACAAGAATGGACCGAGTTCGAAACGATGATATACGTGATCGCCTAGAGGTAGCAACAATTGAAGAAAAGCTTGTCCAACATCGGTTGAGGTGGTTTGGCCATGTCCAAAGGAGACCTCCAGAGGCATTAGTGCATTGTGGAGTCTTAAGCCAAGCTAATAATATGAGGAGAGGTAGAGTAAGATCCGAAATTGACATTGGGGGAGGCAATAAAAAGATATTTGAAAGCTTGGGATATACCTAGAGATCTATGTTTGAATCAATGTTTTCAAGGCGGTAAGGCGAGGCATGGCGACTGACTACCGCCTTACGCTTAAGCGAGTAAGGCGTAAGGCGGCGACTTATAATGACTTAAGAAAAATTTAAAACAAAGAGCTCGAGAGCGATAGATGGTGAAGAGAAAAAAAAAAAAGAAAAAGGAAAAAGAAAGGAGGAGTCGAAATAGGTCCGCCCACCCATCATCAGCGCCCCATGTGCCCCTCCCTCACCCACCGTGCATGTCTTCATCTCTCTGCTCCCAAATCCCCAATCCTCTCCAGACTCAGTACCGCCAAGAACTCTCCCGACTTGACTTCCGCCTCGGCCTCTGCCCCTCTTTTTTGTCTCTTCCTCCTCTCTCTTCCAGATCTGGTAAGTGCATGATGGCTTCTGAGATGGAAGAGGGCGCGGCTACATGGCTTTCATTGCAGACGGCCGAGCGGCAACTTCCCCGGCACCAAAGAGCGAGGATGAATCTGGCCAGCACGGGTGAGCTGCGGCTTCCTCTTCCTCACCCGCTCACTGGGGTCCCCAGCCGCTTCTCTCTCTGCGCCTGTTTCTCCCAGCAGCTGACTCTCTCTGCGCGTCGCTGTTTCTTCCGTCGCTTTCGCTCTCTCTCTTTCCTTTTTTTCGCGCCGATTCTCCTGCGTTTTCCCCTTTCCGAGGCAGAGGCTTCCTCGTATGGCGCCCGCCATGCGCGATTTGGCGCGATTTGGACGCCAAAGCGACGTTTTTTGGACGCCTCGGCTGTAAGGCGGACGCCACACGAATCTAAGGCGAGTCGTCTGCTAAGGCGTCGTGCGTGCAGCGCCTTGGCGCTTAAGCGATGCTTAAGCGACGCCTTAAAAACACTGGTTTGAATAGGAGTACTTGGAAAGCAGCTATTGAAATGCCTGAACCGTGACTTGGGGCTCTTGGTGGGTTTTAACTCTAGCCTACCCCAACTTGCTTGGGAATGAAAGGCTATGTTGTTGTAATGAATTCACACAGGACCTAGACATTTACTTACTGGAAAACATCCTTATGGTATCCACAGCTAAAGTTGATTATTGTGTTTCTCTTTTCTTCTTTTGAGAAGCTATGGTTGATTATAGTCTCCTTATTCTCGAAAATAGACCCTGCAACCAAATTTCTTGATTTGTACATTGATCAGTTGATGAGTCTACCCCGACTTGCTTGGGACTATTTGTTGTTTTGCTTCGATCAGCTGATGATACAAAACATCTTGGAAGTTGGAATTCAAGTGCGCACTACAAGTGCCATTTTCATGCCACTAACATGTCTCTGAGTCTGACTTCGTTTGGTTAACACCCTTTTACACATTTTGCAATTTTAACATCAACTAGACTAGTATAAGTTGTGAGTTTAATGCAATACCCAGGGGCTGTCTTACCCCCTGCAGGTCGAGTTTTTTTTTGTATAATAAGTTGTGAGCTATATATTGGTGCAAGTTTTATTTATTTGTTATTTCATTCAAACTATCTATATTCACCTGTAGCCCTTCCTTCTCATTAGTCAGACTGTCAAGAGTTAAATTAACTTGTGTGTTTATGTTGCCTTCATAGATACAGAAAATTCAACAGTTGGATGATGGTTCATCATGTATTTTCTCTCATGGTCAGCAGCGGTTTCGTCTTATGCGCCATTGGTTGGATGTCGACGGAGTAGTAAGTCTTAATAATTAAGGGCCTGTTTGGATCCACTGTGATTATAATAATCAGCTAAGATATTGTAATTGTGATCCAAACAAGCTAGATTATAAGGTGGATTATTATAATCAAAACACCAGGTTACAATAATCCTATAATCCACCTTGGACCTGCTTTTTGGTGATGATGAGTATTTGTCACTTGAACCAAGAATAATCCAGGGATCCAAGCACTCTGATTATTAATCCAGATTATATTAATCCTATGTATAACCTAGATTATAATGATCCAGCTGTGATCCAAACAGGGCCTAAGTAAAAACTATGTAATTCTCTGAACTAAAAGGAAGAGAGCATATTCTCATGGCATTTTTCTTGACAGCCATGGGGTGAAGTCCAAATTATTGAAGAAGATACACCTCAAAGAACTCCAAGAGATGCTTTTGGACAGTTAGCTGCAACTAACAGTTTCAGGCAATGTGCTTCATCGATAGTGCCCAGTTTGCATGCGTCATGTTCTACACAACTTGATCATGTGGATTCTGATATGGATAGGGATTCTCTATCACCCACTAGCACTTCAAGTGACTACTCAGTAACAGATAAAAGAATATACCTTTTAGGTTCCCGGTCCAGTGGCTTGGTAAGGTGTGGTATTGTGGATGAATCCTCAAATGAAGGCCAAAATTCTATACCTGAACAGTCTTGCCAGAGCCATGAGTCTGTAAAAGAAATTGATGGGTATGGTCAACCAGATAAGAATACAAACACAGGAGATGATGATAATCTTTGTTTCATATCCTCCAAATCCTTTCAGAGAGCAAGAAAGAAAGATACTAAACAGCAGAAACGCTACTTTGCAACAAAAAATGCATCACAGGCCCCATTGTCATTTTGGCCTCGCTGGGCTTATGAGATGTATGATTCGTATTCACTTTCTAGGAGAGCTGCAGGTACCAAGTTATTTCTCCACTCCTTTTTATTTCTCTTGAATTGTAGCAAACTGAATTTATGTTACTCTGCATTCATTGATTGTTAACTGCATAATATTTGTTCCTGTAATTTTTTTCTCGGACATGCTGGAAAAGTTGCTTATATCTTTGTAGTATAGAGAGATAAGTCCTGTTATGTCAAGTATAAATCTGTTCAGTTGTGATTTAAGTGTTGTTGTATGTATGACCTTGAATTTTCTTCATGGCAGATTTGTGGAGACAAGTAATTTTAAACCCAAGCATGGATGATCATGTGAGGAAACCAAATTATTTGTCATTTTGCATTGGAAGCAAACTTCCTATCTCAGAGTCTCTAAGGCAAGAATTGCTTGAGATTGATGGAATCTCATATCGACTACAGCGGGAGATTCAGCTACTCAAAGCCTTCAATTTCATACGATGTAGAAATTGCCTGGTATTGTTTACTTTCTTTTAAACAGTAACAGTTACTTTCTCAAAGTTTCTGATCATGCTTCATTTCTTCAATTCTGTTCACATGGCCAAGACTTGTGACCTTATCTCTGTCCAGTCTGCAGTTGGAACCAGTGGTGGTAATGCATCATGCATTCATGCATAGTGGTGACATGAAAATGAAACTGGATCCAGGATTTCAAATTTTGTTGTCATTTAGGTTCTGCAGGATTTCAACCTTTTTTTTTTGCATAAGTGCAGTGTTTCGAATACCTAATAAAAAGAAAAAAAACGAAGCTGACTCGTTATTTCCACACTTCTCCTATATTTCAGGTGCCTGAATTTTAGGATAATTTCAGGCAACACTCTTGTACAACCAACTAGTACAAGTGAATTGTTACTTTTGTGATTTGTAAATGTCTTTGTATCATAACATATCAAATTTTTGTCCTTGTCTAACTATAGAAACAATTGTAAATTGTTAATTGTCTGTGCCAGTTTAGATCAGATTTTATCGAGTTTGTGGTTTTGTCTAACATGTTTTTTATTCTCGGAATAAAAATTGCAGATTATGCCTACATAATTGCAACAAACTAAAGCTGCAATTTTAGTATAAAATATATGCAGTAACCGTCGCATGAAAGAAAACTAAAATTTAGGTTCCTGAATTTTAGCAAGTCTCTTATTTCCATAGAGATGGTTAAAGCTCACTGGTCGAGTCGACCTTTGGGGAGTTGATTTTTGAGAGTCAGCACATAAACTCTTGCTTGGTTGTCGTCCCATCTGATTCTTGGATCTGGGGTAGTCCTGGGGATATCAGCTATAAAACTGATCAAATAGTTTATGCATAGTTTTGACTAATACAAGAGGTGACAGGTTCTTTTCTTGTTGTAGACCCGTATTGCAAGACGAAGTGACATGGTGGTGACGTCCAGTGACAGCCCAATGTCTTCTCACAGCAAGCCCCACAGTTCTGTGAAAGAGATTATCACAGTATACAGTGCCACTGGCCTTGCACTGCGCGGCGACCCTTCCAAAACTCACAGCTGGTTTCCAGGGTATGATAATTTTACCAGTTTCTTTTTTTTTTTCGTTTCTCCACTTGAACCTGGAAATCACATAACTACCATGGTTGCCTGATACACTGGCTAAGTTCTTTTTTCTGGTTGCAGATACACATGGACGATCGCGTTGTGCAGTGCCTGCCAGTCCAATATAGGCTGGCTGTTCAGAGCCGATAACAAGAACCTGCATCCGAGATCCTTCTGGGCGATACGGACTTCCCAAATTTCAGATGATACACAATCAAGATAGAACTGGTCAGATCATCCAAGCCTGGGTGACCATTTGTTGCAGTTGCAGCAATCCACTAACTTCTGCCTTCATTATTCTGTGCGAGACCCAATTTGCCTGCTTTTACTTCCTGAAAGCGACGAAGGGTTTTCGGCAAAATCTGGTTTGGGAAGGGCTTTCCAAAAACTTGTTCCAACTTGTGAAGTGACCTGCGGCCTCATATAGAGAGCGATTTCAGATCCATGTGTGCGTCCGAACTCTAAATTTGCGTGGCATAATCGACTCGTGCTGAACATATTTTGACGAATGCGGTTTGATGTGACAATCCTGACGTCCGGATGATGGCGTTCAGTTTTAAAAGTTTGACGTCCGTTCGTAGTAGCAAGTAGCAGCTAATTACAAAGCATCACGTATTGTATTTGGAGTTTTTTTTTACGGCAGTAGCGCCCGGACGTGCGGATAGTCGCCTGCATCTGGACCACCGCGCTGCACTCCCGTTTCCTGCGCTCAGGCCAGCATGCCCTCGTCTAAGCTTGCATTTCGCATGTCCACACGAGGCTGCGCCGCCCAGACGCTGCCCACGTCACCAGACCTTTCACGCCCTCTCCGTTTCTCACGTGTAATGTAACATGTGCAACACCTAGTCTACTTTTGCAATATCTAGATAAAGCACTTGTAATATACGTCCAAAACAGTTGAAACACTTGCAAAACACCAATTTTTTTTTTGAAAACATGTGTGTAGCCATTGCAAACATATACAAACATGAAGATAAAACACTTGTAACGTACATATAAAAATACTTGAAACACTTGCATATATATGCAACATCCCGATCTAGTTTTGCAACATCCAAATGAAATACTTGCAACATACATCTAAAACAGATGAAACTTTTGAAACATACATGTATAGCCCATTGCAACATGTGCAATATCCCGATCTACTTTTGCAACATCCTTATGAAACACTTGCAAATACCTCTAAAACATCCGAAACATTTAAAATGTGCACTTGCAACATGCATCGTATCTCGGTGCGGACTCCTCCGTCGTCTGCATCGGGGCCCCGCAGCCGTAGCGCGAGGCTAGAGGGTTTCCGCGCTAGGCCTGGCGCTTCTCCTTGCGTAGCGGCCTCAGTGGCTAGCTGGCGACCAAGGGAGCGGTCACCACACGTGGGTACGGCGATGCCCGCATCGTTAGGCGGAGCGGGCCACAGAGCAGAAGCAGCAGCAGGAAGCAACGGTGCGGGGCGGTGAAGCAAGGGAAGGAGCAGCGGGGCGGCCAACGGAGGAGCAGGCAAGGTCACCGTCAACTACAAAGTAGAGCGGAACAAGTCTCGTCTCATTTTCCTTTTCTTATCCAACCGACACAACAGAGGAGACAGATGTGGATACCGTAACATAAAACGAGCGGACACATAGCAGAGATTTAGGGATTTATTGGGCTGGTATACATGCCCATGAACCGTCCAACGTCTGTAATTGGCATTTCCGTTTCTTTTATAACAATTTCTTGCACTCGGAGTTGAATGCTGTCGTCACCCCGCTTGTGTAGAGACCTCAAGACTGCATCGGCGCCGGCAAAACATGTACAAGAAACCCCCGACACGCATGAGAACATGTCAACATGCTGCAGTAGACTAGTACGGAGTACGTAGGAATACGTCAAAAATTTACATCCCCTGAACTTTATTGCACAGCTACATAAAGTACGAACGTGCAGTATCAGCTCCACAGTAGCGGACTTCGCCACACGTTTACAAGACTGTCACAGGGAAGATAAGTACAAGCATAGCAGGCAGCAGCTCAGCAGTAGATGTCAATGTATAGGCATATGCAATCTTCAGGTGAAGCTGTATATATATAACACACCCATCCGTGTATCCGATGCCAGCACTGTTCGCTCTTCACATCACCTGTACGATCGATAGACGGGGCTGTACATGCAACTCTCAGCGTACTTCACCAAGTCTTTTGGCCGAGGGAGCTGGCTAGCCATTCCTGCGGAAAGTGAAGCAGAAGAATGGAACTTACATGGTGTCTCGAAGTCGCTAAGTTTTCTAGTAAAATGTACCCCAAAACAGCAAAGATACCGAGATCATAAGCTTAAGCAGAATTAGTGACAACTGACAAACAGGAAAGCATGCCTGTTCGGTTGGCTGGTTCGTATCGTTGCTGGTTCGTGAAGAAGTACATACTGTTCCGGCTAGAAATTTACAATCTTTTACGACAAACCACAGCCAAACGAACAGCCTTGAAATCTTGCAGATTGTGTGTACCAGCAGCAAGGACCATATCGTCTGACACCCGGACCGCTCCTGAGATCACCACCCCTAGTCCAAACCCCGGGAAAATGTATGCATTGTTTGCCTGTTATAGTTCAAGATAAAGTTCACAGGAATAAATTAAGGACTTTGTGTGCACAAGCCATTTTTTCATACCTGGGCAGGCACAAACAGCTTGTCATTATATTTCACCGGATCAAATGGGCTTCCACTCCCAAATATGGCACGCCCCTGTTTACATATGTATCCTCAGATTGAGGCATTCGAAATAAATTTGGCATGTGGAAAGATGAAACTATGCATGAAACGCTACCTGACTCCATGTATATGCTTGTTCAGCAGTACATTCAGATTGTGACGTTGGGTTTGATAGAGCAAGGATAATCGGTCTCTGCATTTCATTGGAGTTAATTCTAAATACTTGATGAAATGATACAAAACAAACTATCAAGACAAGGAAGTGATGTTAAGTGTCACCTCATTAATCGAAGACATAGCCTCAATCACCTCTTTCGTGAAACTTTGACCCACACCACACTAGTAGAGAACATACCTTTCATCCGAGATCAAAATAGTCTCTAGTCCCGACATTTGTTGCGCCCGGAACTAGAGAGACCTTTAGTCCCGGTTGGTGTCTCCAACCGGGACTAAAGGTCCCCTGCCCAACGGCTACTGCGCTCGGCACAGTGGCAGGGGGACCTTTAGTCCCGGTTGGAGACACCAACCGGGACTAAAGGTGGACCTTTACTCCCGGTTGGAGTCACCAACCGGGACTAAAAGTCCTCCAACCTTTTAGTCCCGGTTGGTAACACCAGGGACTAAAGGTCCCCCGATGGGTTAGTTCAAAAGGGAAGCATCCCATCCATTGTTAGATGTGTTGTGTAGGTGGGGTGGTAAGCTACGCGCGAGGCAATGCATGAGGTCTTGGGTTCTAATCTCACGGGACGCAGCGGTGGAAGGCATTATTTTTTTTAAAGCTGGGAGGACCTTTAGTCCCGGTTGGTGTTATGCACCAGGACTAAAGGTCCTGGTTCCCGACCCTCCCGGATGCTTACTCCCGGGTGGGGAACCGGGACTAGAGGGGTTCTCCACCGGGAGTAAAGCCCGTCCCTCCACTAGTGCCAGCTGATCCTATTAGTGCAGTCGGTCTGATAGCCTGAAAAATGGAAAAAAGATTTATGAACCATGAAAATCCACAATGGAAGCCTATTTGTATCCCCTTTGGCTTAGCCTTGTACCTTAATAGCACCTAAGAGATCTTTGACAGGTTCATGCTCATGTGCATATCGCTTCTTAAATGGCTGGAGTGTCTCTTTACGTGAGGTTACAATCAGTCCCTGCAACACACGACAGACTTTTTTACAATGTGTTCACAAAAATAAAAATAAATAGGAAGGGAACACTTCTTAACCTTTGAATCAACCAGCCAGATCTTTTTGCGAGCCTCTTCTACAGACACCTTTGCCTGAAAAGAAACATCACTAATTTACTATGGTCACCAGCAAATTCCTCCAGTTAAGCCAAACTTGAAAAGTTACTACCTGTCTGGATATCTCCAGAGCAACCAGTTCAGCAATGCCCGTACCAGCCTGCAAGACAGACAGATGGACCTTTAAATTGCAGTCTTTATTGAACACGAAAGTCAATGACATACATTTGTGTTTATGATAAACCATAGTTAATACTAGCATACAAATTATGTACTTATGTTTGCCAAAGTATTGACAATCTCAGGACAACCAAACCGTTCTTTTGGAATGTAAACCAGCAAGTACAAGAGGATTTCCAATACGATCCTATGCCCAAGACACCGAAGGGCATGTCTATACTGAAAAGAACCTATTGGAACTGATGGTGTTCCCTACTATCTTCATCTGATTACAAGATTCATGGGAATGTGAAGGCAAGTAAGCAAATGCGATGTAGCTTTGATACATGCAGTAATTAATAGTGAGCAGTAGCATTTACTCTACAATTTCCAAAAAAGGGTCAATCACCTCTCCTGCACCAAAGAACAGGAATGTATGATCAGCTAGAGTCCCACCAACAGATTTCAGAGCAGCAATAAGCCCTGCAAGCACTACAGCAGCCGTGCCCTGTAAATATCAGGGTTTCAGAGTTAGTACTGCTGTCTGGAACAAAATTCAATGACTTTTTAAGAAAAGTAAGATAAATAACGAACATCTTATTTGATTACCTGGATATCATCATTAAATACAAGATGGTTTGTCCTGTACTTCTCAAGAAGTGTAAATGCATTGTGGTTTGCAAAGTCCTCAAACTGTGAGGCCAAACAAATTTTAGAAAGTGGTCTGCTACAGTTCGTAGGAAACAAATAATTTACTTTCAACTATTTTCCATACCTGGACAAGAACTTTTTGCCCATAGTTCTGCCTAACTGCAGCCATAAACTCATCCAGAAGTTCAGAGTATTCCTGATTCAGAAAATGAATATATTGAGATCCATAATCATAAAGGTTAAAGGTTAACATGAATCATGATAATTGAATGAGCATAGCCAATGCAAGTAGCATGGAACCTGGCCAGTTGCTCTTCTTTGCTTTAGTCCAATGTAGAATTCATCCTTTAGCAGATCTTCGTTATTTGTTCCCACATCTATGGTAATAGGCAAGCACTATGATACAACATGGAGGAAAATATTACATCAGACTGCTAATAAACAACTGTATATTCACATGGGCCAATTTAAAACTGTATATTCACATGTAAAGTACTCACAGCAGATGGCCGTACACCTCCAAGAGCAGTATACAGTGCAAGCTTCCCCACAGGAATTCCCATGCCCTATACATATTTCACACAAAAAAAGATTATAAGCAACAAACTCTGCGCTTAACAAAAAATTCAGAAGCACAAATGATCCTTGACAAAGCAAAAATGGCAGGGCAATGTAACTAACCTGGCAACCAAGATCTCCCAGGCCTAAAATACGCTCACCATCAGTGACCACAATAACCTGAATACTCTTCTCTGGCCAGTTTCTCAGTACCTCCAAGATCCTCCCCCTAGCATGAAAAGCACATCATAAGCACCCTTAATACTTTAAGGCTCTCAGCAGATATAAGCAATTACTGTGAGGAGAGGTGGAGGGACAACGCACTTATCCTTCAGGCTGACGTATAAGCCCTGCGGTCGTCTGAAGATCGACCCATACTTCTGGCAAGCTTCCCCAACTGTTGGTGTATACACAACAGGAAGTAGTTCTTCTACATTGTCAATCAGGAGCTTGTAAAATAGCCTCTCATTTCTCTCCTGGAAAACAAATGCATCATTCAACAAGACAAAAGCACTCACGACTGAAATAGTAATCTGGCTAGCTGCAACTGACTTTGTGAATCCAAATTTTCTCTTGAAGCCGATTGGCTTACCTGAAGGTCCATTAGCGCCATGTAGCGCTGCAACGGGACCTGGAACTGCCGAACATTCTGCAACATCCTCTTCTCCTGTAGAAGATGCACACGCTTCACTGAAATCATCAACTGCTAACGCGCAAAGGCTATAAGGTAGAGAACGTAGAAGTAGCAGACCTGGAGGTCCTGAGATAGCACTACTGGAGGCAATAATCCTCGCAGGTAGTGCGCGTCCCGCTCTTTCTCCGTGAACGAGAGGCCTTTATTGTGCCTTGGATCCCTCAGTAGGGAGTGGCCACTGAAATCCCGGTAATGACAAAACATCACAATCTTGAAGCCATGCACACATCAGAACACCAATTGAGTTTCTTCCAAGTTCGTGGCCAGATTGCTCCACGATTTTCGTATATCAATATGACACATGTTGAAATGGACAGGTACATCGAAAAGAATCTCAACTTCAGAGTTCAGCCGATACGTGGTCGTCTTAATATCTCTAACTTTCGAATCCAGAGTTCAAAACTCAGGCACCCATAGCGCCACGTCGCCCGTTAACTGATAACGCGATACCGAACGTTCGATCACGGTCGTCACGGGTCTCACCCGTTATAAACTGCAAGTCCGGACGCTCTCGAATCCTTGCGAACCCGCTAGCTCCGGCGGACAGCTCGTCCCCTCGGCCTCGGGCTCCCCTGCGCAGCTGTACTTGCAGAGCTGCCCACTATCAACCTCTGCCCTGACCGAGTCCGGCGGGAGTTAAGTACTGCTGCCACCGGCGCACTGCGGTTATCTGGCGAGAATACCACCACCAATCCATCACTTCTTCTGGCTAGCCTCCCCGTCGCGCCCTTGGCAAGTCCATCCGCCTCGACGACTGCAGCCTCTCTGACGGCGGCCACACCACCATCGGCCTCATCCCCGAGCTCCGTCCATGTCCTGAAAGGGAGCAGCCGCCACCTCCTCCCAGCGCTCACGTTGAAAGGGCCGCCGTGGTATGAAAGCCAATGGCAAGGACATCTCCGGCCTCCATGCTCCCGTGTGCTGCCGACCACCATCGACCTCAACGCAGCTATCGATACCTCCGTGATGATGCCTTGAAGGTGTTCGATGAAATGAACACAAGGTGTGCATTTTATTCGCGAGCAAACACCCCTGGTGGACATCCTATTCTAGAAGAAGGTAGAGTTGCAGGTGTTTGCTTCAATAGAAATCCTATTCCATTTTGCTTGTTATTGTTAGATTCACTGGATTGGTGATTGATAATTGCAGAGCATCTCCCCGCACAATCATGTCTTGCCCATCCATTGGCAGCTGGACGCTTGCAAGATGCGTAGTGGTGAGACAGGAGGATTCAATCCTGTAGCTGTAGGATGGGAGCTCAGGCACGTATTGTACATACTAAAATAAATTTTAGTATTTATTTATATGTGGTAATGTGTGTGCATACCAGTTCTCTCCCTCTCCCTCCCTCCCTCCCTCCCCCTCTCTCTCTCTCTGATGTCTAATTGTGCATCATCAGAGTCTTCGACTACACACTCATCCAAGTTATATTTGCAACAATAGATGCTCTGTAATATAAACATTGTCAACTTCTTTCTAAACACTAAACAAAGCTAATAAATAGTTATATCTGTCATTAAAGTAGACAATTTGATATCATCCATCACCCATGAATATATCCTTCTACTACCTTCCATCAGTTTTCAGTTCTGTGAGACCTATTGACTGTGGCTGGTAATTTTGCAGGGCTGAAAATTTTCTGATATGATGTTTAATGAGCCGTGGCTTCTATGATGCTTACGATGTACTCCCTCCATCCCAAATTGTAAGACGTTTGACTTTTTTTGCCTCAAGTTTGACCACTCGTCTTATTTAAAAAATTTGTGCAAATATAGTCAAATTTAAGTTATTCTTGAAGAATTTTTATTAATAAATCAAACCACAACGAAAGAAGTGATATTTTACACAAATTTTTGAATAAGACGAGTGATCAAACTTGGTGTCAAAAAAGTCAAACGTCTTACAATTTGGGATGGATTGAGTAGATGATAGTTAATTCAATACAACTCATATACTGTTTTGTGACTCTGAAAATGTAAAGCTATCAGATTTCTTGAAATTGCATCCATGTGGGAATATCATGTGCTTACCCTATAGCCACTCTAATTTTTTTACAAGAACCAACCATCTGTATCAGGCTACTAGCTCATCTGCAAGCATTAATATTTAGCATAACTAGATTCTGTAAGCACTGATATTACAACAGAATTTGGTTATTTGTGTAGTGTTCTATGCCACCAGGTTATTAATTCACATGCATATCTCAAGAAGATCTGAACAGAGTAAGAAAGCAGATTATCAATCACTGGTACCTACCTGTTCTGGACTCTGAAATATAAAGCATCTTTAGTCATCCACCCATTATGAATATCGAGCATTGTATCAAAGTTCTATTCTGTTAGAAAAAGATATTTTCTTTTGTAGGGTTCAGCTATTCCAAAAGTTAGATATGCTAAATATTTCTTCATTGTATCTTTACAGCAGTCCGGTTCGGCCATGCTCATGCATCAGGATGTATTCTTCATGCTCTTGAAATGAAGCTCTACATGCAGTTATTTGGGAGTGGAAGGACATTGTTACATTTCATTGACAAATGCCGTGCAATTTTTTCCCCTTGGGCCTAGTGTTCTTTCATCTTAGTAGACAGAATCATTTCACTTTTCAGCTTATATAAAATACCATTGCCATATTGGGCTATACTGACAAGGAAACCATAACTATTGTAGAATGGACATACAACATTAACTTGCACAATTTAGTGAGAGCAATGGGTATGAATCCATACTAGTAAACCCGAATTAAATATCATCGCACTAATCATCAATTGCTATGATGTGATCATGGTCTCAGTAATGTTCAAGATGCTATTGTATTCCTCTCTGCTAACGATAACTAAGCACAACATCAAAATCATCATAAACTTAATCTCGTAGCTCAACTGCTAAACCCTTTGAAGTAATAAATGCTAAGCTGGCTAATTCAAAGGAGGGCGCGGCAAAGACGCGCCAAGTTTTTCTAGCTTACAGTAGAATCAGAGGATACCAAACATAACAGGAGCAGCAGAAGGAAACCCGCATATACCTTGCGATGCAGACGGCCCACGGCGTGCCAGGCTGGTCCTCGGTGGCGCGGTCGCTCACCAACCGGAGCCCCGCACTGGCAGAGCATGAAGAGTGAAGAGATTTCTTCTCTTTATTTTAATTCTCTGCTGATTTTGATTTTAACTTCTGGGTTTACAATTTCAATTTTGTCATTTATATGTAGAGTTTGAACTTTTGATTCCAATTAGAATATAATTTTATAGATTTCTTAATTTATTTAGAAGATGAAGAGGACTAGAACTTTAGCATCATATTGCTCTCGACTAATATAATATATATATATATATATATATATATATATATATATATATATATATATATATATATATTTGAAATATATATATATATATATATATATATTTGAACTTTTATTGTATATAGACTTCCTACTGAATTATGTAGCGAGCGATTGGTATTTGGTCTTTGAAATTTAGTCATGAACGAGGCCTGAATCCTGGGTCCGCCAGCGGCGGTGCCTGTCGTCCGCGCCGGACACGTTGCAGGAGAGGTGTCGCCACGTACCCCCGCGGTAGGCCGGCTCTAGAATGTCTGTTGGGTTGGGCTGGATCCGCACCGTACAGTTCCACCCGGCCTGTTTTACGCGGCCCACCCTGTCTCAGCTCGCTATCACGGAAGACGCGTCCAAGCACGCTGTCCGCTTGCGGCTTCTCCAACCAAAGCCGCGCAGCCAAATCCGAAGGGTAGCGGAGGACGGGGACGACGCCATGAGCCGCGCACTCCTCTCCCACGTCCTCCACTGCCCGCCGCACTTCGCGTACACCTGGTACGCTCTGCTGAAACCCTAACCGCTTATATCTTTTTGTTCGCCGTTGATGCTGCAACTTCTGGTTTTTTCCCGCCTTTTGGCGTCGTAGCTTTAGGAGTGGCGTTGGTGCCCGAGGAGGACTGCTCGCTTCTGGCATCCACCCGCTCCGTCGTCTCAATTGCAGCGCGGTTGAAGCCGTTCCCGGCCCCAGCGAGGAAGCGTCTGCTCCTCCGGCAAGGAAGTAAGTCCAGCGCCTCCCTGTCAGGGTGGTGTTCGACGTAATGCTTTGTTGCGTATTTTCGGGTTTGTGTTGCAGTTTGGCTTTTAGCACGTCGCCTTTGGGAATCGCTCGTGGACCTGCATTTTAGTGTGGCTAATTCACGAGAGAGAGGAGATTTTAATGCAATGGCGTAAGCCTTGAGTTTGCTTAGATGTTGATGCGTTCGGGTATACCTTCATTGAATATATAGGGTTTGTGATGTTTTGGAATTCTACAAATGACCAATGCTAGAATTGAATTGCTGTAGAATGCATTTTACTTGCTGCTTGCAGTCGTGGTTGGTTGGAGGAAACTATCTACGCCATGGTTGTAATACAGCTCTTTCTCCATATGCATTTACGAATGATCGTTTGGCCTTCCTTTTGCTTCAACGGCATGTTCAGATTGAATGTAAGTTCAACAGAAATATCTAAGTTGAAAATACGAATTTTAGCACAATAGAAGGGGGAAAAAATATAGGACTAAAACTTGCTTCCATAGGGCCTGTTTGGATGGGGAGGATTTCTCTAGGAACTTTTAGTTATCCATAATGATGGTATCTATTTCCGTGATGGCTCATAGTTATGTAATGAATTCATGTTAAGGTTGTGAAATGGTTCTGATAAATCTATTTACCCTCTTTTCTCTAAATCGAACAGCTAGCTGTGTTCACTGTTGCAGGAAAAGAGTAGTTTCTGGTGTACAGCCAACAGGATTGGTTCACCTTGGAAATTATCTAGGGGCGATTAAGAATTGGGTTGCACTTCAGGTATTACATATGTTGCTTTGAAATTACAAGTTCCTTTGAATTGCACTGTATAGGCTTTGCTTAAGTGGTAGAGAACTAAAAAGAACTTGAAAGGAATGAAAACAATCAGAAGTATTAAACAAGAAACAGTTTGTTCAATACCAAGGCCTTTTCAGTTATGATATTGTTTCATCTATATTGAACTATATTCAAGAGGTAACTACAAAGTAGCGAACTTATCACTGTTAATTCATCCCTTGTTCAGGGTAGTTTGCATCGTTATATCTTCTTATATGTCACTTCATTGCAGGATTTATACGAGACATTCTTTTTCATCGTGGATCTTCATGCAGTAAGTTCTTTCTTAGTATATGTCCATCTTATAACAGAAGCATAATAATTGTATTAGTTTAACAGCTTGATAAATTGGTATTGACATAATTGTTATCAATGATTTTTTCTACCCTGTTCTGGTGTCCTGAGACAAATTACAGCCTTCCTATTAACTTGCTTTCTTAAATATCTCTTTGACATATGCTGCATGATATTTGTGTAATACATGATATTCTTTCAACCTTATGATGTTAGCTAAGTGTTTTCCATGTTGTATATTCAAACTATGTTGTTACCTTGCAGGAGGATTGGAGGAATAAGGAGCTGCTTTTGTTCTTGTTCTATTTATTTCATAATTGATTTTTATAAAGATATTGCTGTCTCTGGTTCATTCTGTTGCTCTTTTAAATTTGTTAGGTTATGTTTATCACTTTGTTCAAAATATTTGCAGATTACTTTACCATATGAGGCGCCACTGCTTTCCAAAGCAACAAGAAGCACTGCTGCAATATATCTGGCGTGTGGCGTCGATAGCTCCAAGGTCTGCCTCACTGTGTTTTGATTATTCTGTATGTGTACACTTCTGTTGTTATGTATTATGACTTTGTGTGTTTTCAGGCTTCTATCTTTGTACAGTCTCATGTCCGTGCTCATGTTGAGTTGATGTGGCTATTGAGTTCTTCTACTCCTATTGGCTGGCTGAATAGAATGATCCAGTTCAAAGAGAAGTCTCGCAAGGCGGTGCGTCACTTGCTGTACGACAGCTTTCACCATCAAATTTTGTTTGA